GGGGCCGGAGGGCAGGGCCGGAGGGCCGGAAGGCGGGGCCGGAGGGCCGGTGCTCTCGCTGAGCGGGGCGTGGCCGGAGGGCGGGGCCGGAAGGCGGGGCCTGAGGGCGGGGCCAGAGGGCGGTTGCTCTCGCTGAGCAGGGCGGGGCCAGAGGGCGGGGCCGGAGGGCCGGAGGGCGGGGCCGGAGGGCCGGAGGGCCTGAGGGCGGGGCGGGGCTGGAGGGCCGGAGGGCGGGGCCGGAGGGCCGGGGTGGCGGCGCGCGGGGCGGGGCGCCTCCCTCCTCCCGGAGAGCGGTCGGACCTGTTGTCCCCCTGACTTCCGGCTGCTGGAGGGGGACCGGGCGGCCTCCGCTCCCAGACACCCGTCCGCGGCGGAGGCGGCGGAGCCGGGGAGGAGGCTGCGGACGCCGGGATCTCCTCCGGAGCGGGGACGCGGGCGTCGGGCGCCCCCGGAGACGCCCGAGCCCGAGCTCCGGATCCTGGGGCGCGGAGCCGTGGGCTCTGCTGCCCTGCACGCGGCCCGGGACCCCACCGCGGAGCCCCGGTGAGAAGGGCCAGTCCCGGGAGGGGTTGAGGAGATGGGGTCTCTCGGGGCAGTCCGGGACACGGAGGCGGCTGCGGGGACGGCGCGAGGGGGGCGCCTCGCAGCGGGCGAGCCGCGACCCCGCACTCTCTCTCCGCCCTCCTCCAGGTGCCCCTCGGAGACGTCCAGCCCCGGTGGCCAGCGGGTACCCCGGGAAGCCCCGGGCCGCCCCCTCGGAGCGTTCGGAGCGGGTCTCTGAACTTCGGGGTTCCGCCCCTGGGCACGCTCACCGCGCTCCAGGCCACGCCCACACACCAGCAAGCCACGCCCCGGGGCGCCGACCACGCCCACCCCGCAGGACGCCAAACGGCCATGGGGACTCCCCGCAGCCCGGAGGAGGGCTTCAGGTCGCCGCAGGCTCCGGAGGGCGCCGCCGAGGTCCAGCCTCGAGGGCCCGTGCAGCCCCGGGGGCACCCGGAGGAGCCCCAAGAGCGCGAGGACTCCGACGTCCCAGCCGAGCCGCCGAGCTGCCGGGGAGCTGAGCGGCAAGCCGAGGAAGGGGAAGAAGTGGGAGAGGAAGGTAGCAGCACCGAGAGCTGCCGCGAAGAGGTGAGGGGTCAGCCCGGCGGGGGGGGGG